GAATAATAAACATTTATCATGATATAAGGAAATATAAAATAACAACTTTATTATTGCCTCTAGGGCATATTTCCTTCACCTCGTTCGTATCCAGCGGATTCGGCGGGCCACCAAGCGGGCTTTTATACCGGAGAACTGTTCTTCTTGCTCGTCGGATGCCATCGAAAGGATGGAATAAATGGTAGAAGAATGAGATGGGGAGCGGCGGACTTGGTGGCGCGATTCTTGCCCGACGTCTGGCCACGTTTAAATAGAGGGCGGGCGAGAGGAGCTTGCTCGGCGTTGCGTTTAATACTGACCCGCTCGTGAACGGATATTTGGACGGAGTAGGTTTCTTGGCTTCCACGCGGGTTTAGTGAAGGCGTTTCAATGTGGCGAGGATACGTGTTCAACCGGGCGTGTAATGGGCGGCGCCCTCGGCCGGCACGCCGCTCGAATGGGCCAAACGTCCATTCACGAGCGGGCGAGCATTAAACCCAACCACGCCCTACGCGTGTTTTTCATAGACATAGACGCCTCTCGAGTCAAACTATAATTCCCTGGCGATTAGAGGATCATCGTGATACCGACAGCTCCAATATGCTTACTGATACCGGCCACATCTCCCCATCAAAACCGGTGTCACAACCAGCGTGGCAAACCCAATACCCGTTCACGCACATTTCTTTTGAATCACGCACATGACTCACGAGGCGGAGACCTGAGCGTGACGCTGCACCCAACCCAACCCAACCAAACCCAAGCTGACCCGAACCAACCAGGCCCTCTCCCGTCTTGATCTGAAAACGATCGTCCAGCAAGGCAAGCAAGGTATCCCAATGGCGATCTCCTCCCTGCTGGGCGTCAGTAAACAAACGAGCACGGCCACATCCAAGTCGAAGCAGATCTCACTCGCCCTGAAGTCCACCCACGCCCCCTCTTTCCCCACTTGTCCCCGTCGTCCCGTCGCCCTCCCCCATTTTTATTGCTCCCCACGCCTCGCGCTCCGCTCCTCTGATTGGCCTCCCCTCTGTT